TTTTCATATATATATATATATATATATATATATATTATATATGTATATATGAAAAATATATCAAAAATACATGTGGGTATTTAAATGAAAGCTCTTGATGAGTGTAACATTAGGATAAGCTTATATCATTAAAAAGGTCATCAATTAAGAAATGACCCTGTATATCTTGTCAACTATTGACATTTTTAAAGATATAAGCTCATTTCGATGTAACACTCATTGAGACCTTTCATTTGAGTAGCCACATCAATTTTTCATATATTTTATATATTTATATATATTATATATATGTATATATGAAAAATATATCAAAAATACATGTGGGTATTCAAATGAAAGCTCTTGATGAGTGTAACATCCAAATGAGTTTATATCTTAAAAAATGTCAATAATTAAAAAAGTACAGTGCAATTTAAAGTCATTATTTAATAAATCAAAATTTTACTTATTTATAGCTCACTACGGCAGTCACGTAGTGACTGCTAAGTTGCTAGTATTTTATGCATAGAAAAATTTTTCTTTTCCTTAAAATTTATAATGAAAAAAACAATAATTAATTTCTTTAGAAAAATTTATTCAAAAAAAAGGAGTACAAAATTCAAAAGTATCAAACTTTAACATCTAGATCAACTAGATCTGATAAACAATCCCTATAACTACTTAAAAAAATATATATATATATATATATATATATCATTAAAGTTAATTAACCATAATTTTCAAGAAGAAAATTTCGAAGTATCCCCATCAGCTTTATATTTACGAAGAATATCAGCCATAGATTTAATTTCATCGCTGCTATCACATTGTTTATCTTCTTTGGCATCATCCTGGTCCAGTAGTGAGCCATTGGAAGAAAGGACCCTCTTTAAGGAAGATTTCTTCCCCAAGGAGCAAAAGGAACTGGACATATTCAAGGTATAATTCCTGACCAATTCAGAAGTGCTCTGAGTACTCATAAGGTCGCTCTTGGATCCAGTGAACAGTCTCATCAAATTCGGAGGTAGACTCTTCTTCTCCGTCGCGCCTAGATCAATGGAATCATCAAACTTTAGCTTGGGGATCTGCAAGTCCTTGACATTAGAAGTCGAAGGACCTGCTAGTGGCGAAGACACATCAGTTTTGAGGAACATGGCCGGCAGGGACGTATTGGGCGTCAACAGCAGCCGCTTCTCTGTCATAAGACCCAGGTTCTCCAGTTCGAGGCTCAGGTTGAGGATCTTTCCGTCATCTGGAGCTCGCGGCTGCAGCTGCTCTTTGGGTAATTTATCAGCGAGTTCCTTCATTCTAGCTTGGATCTGGCTCAGCTCTTCTGACATTCTCTTCAAGACCTCCGTTTGCTCTTTGATAAGCTCATTGTCCTCCGGAGTGAATTCCTCCTGGGAGAGAGTGTTCCTGGAGCAATTGAGCACTGCTTTGAAGACCACCAGCCAGTTACGGAGGACCAGGTGCCCGTCTTCGTTGTACAGCTTCTGTACTAAGACTCGCGCTTCTGGGTTAAGTGGGCACTTGCTCAGTTTATCCAGATCTACTTTGGGAAGCTTGCTGCCGTCCAAAATTACGCGGTCCTGGCCGCAAACGCTTTTTACCAGGGCATTTACTTCTTCTGCGTATTTCATTAGCTCGTCTTGCTCATCGACCTTCTTTCTGAGCTCTTCTATTTTTGCGTAGGTATCTCGTGCCATTTCTGGAAGGAATTAAGAAGGAGGTTGATAGATGAAAGAGTTAAGGTTGAAATAAAATTAGTTTGCTACCTTTTATAGCTTCTTTATCTTTTATATCAACCAGCCGCTTTTTGAGATCTTCATCGACGTCAGATTTGGCTACTATTTCTGCTAATTCAGGTTTTAATTTAAAAATTTTTTCGTTGTATTTTGTGATACGCTCGGATGTTTCTCTGAAAATAAATAAATATTTATTTTTATAATAATAAATATTGAGGAAGTCAATAAATACTTACTTCATTCTTTCCACAGCTCGTTTTTCAATATCCTCGTATCTCTCCGTCTTGTCAATAACATCTTGTTGGATTTTAGCGGTGATATTTGTAAAAAGAGTTTGTGTCAACGGGTCCCATTGCTTTGGATATCTCAAACCTTTTTTGCCAGCTAAAAAATTCAATTTCAAATTAATAAATTACTAGCAACTAGCAACTATACTTTCTTAAATATTAACATTTTTTAAGATATAAGCTCATCTTGATGTTACACTTATCAAGAGCTTTCATTTGAGTACCCACATGCATTTTTGATATATTTTTCATATATACATTTATAATATATATATAAATATATAAAATATATGAAAAATTGATGTGGGTACTCAAATGAAAGGTCTCTATTAGTATAATCTCAGGACGAGCTTATATCTTTAAAAATGTCAATATTTTACAAGATACAAGGTCATTTTTTAACTATTGATATTTTTAAAGATATAAGCTCATCCCAACGTTACACTCATCAAGAGCTTTCATTTGAGTACCAACTTGCATTTTTGATATATTTTTCATATATACATATATATAATATATATAAATATATAAAATATATGAAAAATTGATGTGGGTACTCAAATGAAAGGTCTCGATGAGTGTAATGTCAGGATGAGCTTAGATCTTTAAAAATGTCAAATTTTTATAAAAAAAAAAAAATACTTACTTTGCCGCTCGCAAACTTTCCTAACAACAATCGAAGTTAAATCAACCATCAGGTTGATAAAATGTTCCCCACGTGCAGTGTGCAGGTGTGAAGCCTGAATCGAGGACATGGTAAAGTCATCGTTTTCCTCAAAGACAGTCCCAATGAAGCTCTTCACCTGAGTGCGGTACCTTCCTTCCTCAGTTTTGTTCAGCAGCGGCCACTGGACAGCTTGTTCAAAGCGTTCCTGGTCGTAAGTAGACAGCAAGTACTGGGAGAGCAGGATGAAGCCGGTGGTGTTTGGCTGCTCGAACATCGTCGGGCTCACCAATTTTTCCAGGTCCTTGCTCATTGGGTGGATCCTGTTGAGGATTTTCAGCATCCTCTCCAACCCGTCTCCGTAATCACTCATTATGTTATTACTGTTAATTTATTTTTAAGCCAAAAATTTTATGACATCTAAAAATAAAAAAAATTTTTTTTTTAGAGAAAAAATTATTACAAAATTTTTATTTATAAAAAATTTTTTAATAAAAAAAAATTAACGTAGAAATTTTAAAAAATAAAAAATGCATTTTTTTTTGTTAAATAAAATTAAAAAATTGTCAAGTTACTGCTAAATTAAATTAATTAAATTTCACAAAAAAAAAAAAACTTGGGAAAATTATGTGCAATTTTTTATTTAATATTTTCTAATTAATAAATTAAGAAAAGAATAAAAAACGTCGACTAACTTTAGTATTATTAATTGTAAAAAATGAAGAATTTTTATAACTTTTTAACAATAAGGTTAAACTGTATAGTTGTGAACTGACGCCGGTTACAAACTAAAATAATTACAATTAGTAATAGTAACTAGCAGAGACATCTACTTTGATGTCAACATATTTAAATATATATATATATATATTTGCTTCCATATATTTTTTACCGTCGTAAGCTAAATTTATAAATGCACATCAAATTAATGACATTTTTTTTTCCTTAAAATTATTTGAAAAAAATTTTTTTTATTTATCAAATATCTGATTAATTAATTTTTATGTCAAATTATGAAAAGAGAATTAATTTACTAGATATTTAATAATTTTTTTAATAAATAAATGATGACAAAAAAAATGAGGGAAAAAAATTGACAAGTAGAAATAAAAAAAGTTTCGAAAATCCAAAAGTGCACGCCTCATAGCGCTCATTCATTTTTTAAGAAAAAAATTAATTGTGTAATTAATTAAAAAAAAAAAAAAAATTATAATTAAGTAATTTCTTACAGAGTATTTTTTATTTTTTTTTTTTAAATATCGGCGCCCTTTCTTCTTGTCATGCGCGCACGCAGTCTAAAAAAAAATCTAGCTTGATCAAGTGGCGCCATAGTTTTCACGTGACAAATAAGGAAAGTTCGTTTAGCTTTGTACGGTTGTATCGTAGTAAATTTTAATAAAAATTCAATTTAAAAAAAAAATACGTAAACTAGGCCACTGATATGCAATACGGACCCAGTTCATCGAATTTTTAAACTAATAAAAAAGATCCGGTCTTGAAATATTAATTTATTCGGGAGTAATCGTTGGTACATCCAAAATGGGGTGACATCCGGACGTCCACGTAAAATTTTTTTCAAAACGTTTTTTTTTTCAAAATAGTAACATAAAATGATTTTAGAAAGTAAAAGATGGTTTAATTTAAGTGTTTTTTTCGGTGTACATAATACATCTACTTATATTATTGTATAAGTGTAATATGGTTGTGATATAGAGACATTTAAAGATCACAAAATTGCTTGATCTTAACGAGTCGAGTATAAAGCACAACCTCACGCGCTTCGCGCTATGAGGCGTGCAATACAATTTTTAATTTTTAAAGATTTTTCTTAAAACTTATAATTAATTTTTAATTTACAAAATAAATTTTATAATTTTCCGAGGAAAAATTTTTCTATATAATTATATATGCTTATATATAGCTGCCTAATTTCTTCAATAAAAAAAAAAAAAAAAATCAAAAAAGTCCCCCAGAAACAATTACCCAAAAACCCAAATTGTATATCAAACAAATTGAATCAACAAATATCCATACCATGACGCTGATTTTCCTCATTCATCTTTTCTGACCTGGATTTGTCTAACCAGTGAATTATTCAAAATACATTCGAAAAAAAATGTTTCAATATTTTTCAAACCGTACAATATCAATGAAGGTCAAGCAAACGTTGCGGTTTTGCGCTATAAAAAGACTATCTCGTCTGACTCACTGTCAGCAGTCATAAAATTAAATTTTTATTTCTCAAAGATATCCAGAGCCTACGTTTTAAAAAGCTAGACGTGGTTTATTTAGCATCAAGAACTAGGAAAGCAAATACGTGTCCTAATTTAAAGATTGTGACTACTCAAAAATAATGATAGTATTTCTATCGCTGATCATCCTACTGGGTGATATTCCTGGCGGATCAACAGACGAGTGTTTGCCTAATTCCAGTGGGATCGATCAACAGTGCTCTCCGGTGATTGGAAACAAATGCACGAAGGAAGATGATTGCCCGATATCCAACACCATATGCGATCAAGTATGCAAGTGTAAAGGTGGAATGCATCCTTCAGAGGACAAGAACTTCTGTGAAACTGATGTTAAAAGTAAGTACCCAGATAAGAGATGAATTTGAAGTGATTAATGATGATTAACTTGATTGGTCCTTGAAGGAATTGGTGACAGCTGCAAAGATGATGAATGCAATACGATCGAAAACGCCGTTTGTAAACAAACTAACGTCAAGACGAAGTTCTCTGGGAACGAAATATGGGACACCGAGTCCACGTGCCAATGTAAGCTCAACCATTTTTTGTCGAACGTGAAATGTGTCAAGTACGCAAATGGTAAGTAGAGAAGAGTGACTAATTTTAGGATGATGAGAATAATGAAGAATTTTGTAGATTTACGGGATAGATGCGAAGACAATCATGAATGTTACAAGATTATTGGAAGCAAGAAGTGCAATAAGACGACCAACACTTGTCAGTGCAATGAGAAAATTTACTACCTGGCAGACGGCAAATGCCACAAAAAAGCAAAAAGTAAGATGAATTTAGATGATGAGAGCGAGTGATGAAATACTTATTAGTTGGTTGATGGTAGGTTTGGGAGAAGACTGTAAGAATGATGTAGGCTGCACGAAAATTGACAATGCAAAATGTTCAAACAATATATTCCATATTTGCACAAGCCTAGTTAATTTGAAACTCATTTACATTTGACACTTTCTGTAGATCTTGTATGGGATCATCTTTTTGTAATAAACTATACTTCTTCTAGATTTGCACGATGCTTGTCATCATCCGTCCGGATGTAAACCTAAATTATCTGAATGCCTTAACAATGAATGTCAATGCGAATCAAACTATATCGAATACAACAATGCATGTTACGGTCTTTTGACCGCCACTTGTTCTCAGCCATCCGATTGTCTGTCAACCTCTTTCTCATGCGAATCAAGCACTTGTAAAAACGTTGAACGTCAAAAAGGAAAAAAAATAGTATCTTCAAAACCTGGAGGTTAGTATTTTTATTATTGAATCAATGTTTTCAGAGTCGTTTACTTTCACGAGTTTATTATCGGAACTGAAAAGTCCAAATTTGATCAAAATTTTTTTTTTTAAATAAAGTAGCTTTTTATCGATTCACTTTTAACCGATTCATATTCTCCGTAGTGTCTTTGTACTGGACCAATCGAACTGCTGATTCAATAGGTGCTACTGACGGATTTTACGCTGGACTCGATAATCAATTTAAAGTATACGTATGTCGTCTAACTCACGAAGGTTTAGTGATCCCCGGAAAATTGCTTGAATTTAAAAATTCAACTCGCTGTGATCCGGAATATCTTCAGGAAGAATTAAGATTGAAACAATTCGAAGTAAGTATTGTATGATGTAATAAGAGTCATATAATTTTGCACACCTCATAGCGCGAAGCTATGATGTACACCGAAAAAAACACTTAAATTAAACCATCTTTTACTTTCTAAAATCATTTTATGTTACTATTTTGAAAAAAAAAAAAAAAAAAAAAAAAAAAAACATTATGAAAAAACCGTACAAAGCCAAACGAACTTTTCTTATTTGTCACGTGAAAACTATCGCGCCACTTGATCAAGCTAGATTTTTTTAGACTGCGTGCGCATATGACAAGAAAAAAGGGCGCGGATATTTAAAAAAAATTAAAAAATACCCTGTAAGAAATTACTTAATTATAACTTTTTTTTTTTAATCAATTACACAATTAATTTTTTTCTTAAAAAATGAATGAGCATTGTGAGGCGTGCACTTTTGGATTTTCCATACTTTATTTTTTTACGTTTGTTTGATAAACTTATCCTTTTTCAAAGATGCTTAGGGGTTCGAGCTTGAAATGGAGCAATTCATCGATCACACTTGACAAAGCCGTTTATGGTGGTGCTAACAAAGACGATAAACCGTATCTTATTTGTCGCGTTGTTCATACTCAGGATAGTGGTCAGATTATCGTTGGAAGACTTGAACCTCCACAATACAAATCTTGTATCGTACCTTATAATGGACAGATATATAATTATGAAAAATTTGATATTTTAGTCCACGAATAATAATAAATGGATAGTTGATGGAAAATTTAATGCAATGTATAACATTTAGAATAGTAATATACATTACTGAAATATAATTCTGCTTAATTAAATTTGTGCTTAAATTAAATTGTAACGGGTTGACGAAATTTTTTTGATTAAATTATCGCTAAATAAAATGTTATTAATATATAAAAATATGTTATTTAATTGCACTCCGTCAGTATTTTTAGTATTTTTATTAAAAAAAAATTTGAAATTTTTTTATAATTTTATAGCAATAAAATTATTATAAAAAAAATTTTATACCTATGTAAAAATTAAAAAAAATTATTAGTATTAACTTTTTTTTTAACTGATTTTTTATAAAAATTAAAAAATTGACGGGAGTCAGCTAACTTTAGTATCATTATATTAACACTATTATTTTTTGATAATTGCAAGATTACAAAAAAAAAAATTTTATTTATAAAAAAATAATGAGATCTAAAAAAAAAAAACAAAATTATTTTAGAGCTATTTATAGAAATTTTTATTTAAATTAAAATTGATAGAAATTTAAAAAAATTGTGAAATTTAAGAAAAAAAATTTTTTGAAAATATGCTATTTAATTGGACTTCAATGGTCAGTATTTTAAAACATAAAAAATTTGAAATTTTTTTATAATTTTATAGCAATAAAATCATTATAAAAAAAATTTTCTATGTAAAGATTAAAAAAAATTATAAATATGTATTTTTTTTTAACTTATGTTAAATAATTCTTAAAAAGGCGCCAAATTTGAATTAAAAAATGTATATTTTTTTTTAATCTATTATCACAACTAAAATTATATTTTTATAAATTTTAAAAATTATTTGTGATTTAAGAAAAAAATTTTCTTTTGGCAATGTAATTATTTTAGACACAATTAATTTTTAATTTACAAAAAATAAATTTTATAATTTCATCACTTACCTCCAAAACTTCTTCAAATTCTTAAAAAACTAAAATTTTCATTAAAAAAAATCTAGATCAAAATTTCCTAATAAAATAAACTAAATAATTAATTTCCAAACCCAAAAAATAATTTTCAATACCAAAATATTTATTAATAAAAAAAACTTTACAATTTACATTTCTAATTCTTAAAATAAACTACCCTAATTAATCTTCATCAGAACTGTTTTTCTCCTTCTTAACCTTGACCTTCTTTCCTTTCTTGACCTTGGCTGGTTCTCCGGACAGAGGGTTCCTAGCTTTCAACCCTTGAGGAAAGAGTACTTTCTTTTCTTCTTGACAATTCTCTTCCTCATCCATCTCCTCTTCTAGCTTATCAGCAATTTTAGCCTTACTGATACAAATTTTCCCCAAAGCCTTGACACTGAGCGCGCGGAAGGGCTTCTTGTCTTCTCTGGTAGGAAAAATGCAGGTAATGTCTCTGCTCTCTTCATCAGGGACCCAGGTGTACTTCTGATCACTAATCTTGAGCTTCTTCTTGCTTCTTTCAGTGTCCAGAGTCACACCGAGCAGATCATGGGGATTTAGGTGCCTGGGGATGTCAATCAAAAATAGCTCATCATCCTCTTCGATGTCCTGGCAGCAGAAGGAAGCTTCTCCTTCGCAAGGAATCAAGCGCTCCTGAGCTACAAAGTCTTCTAGAGATTGGTAGAATTCCGCAGAATTGCTCAAAAAATTGTCTCCACTTCCCACGCTGGCTTGTTCATGGTCAGATAAGTCCAAGTCCAAGTCCATCTTATGATCATCCGAAAAACTTCCCCTGACTTTTAGAATACTCTTGCGCTTAGGTGTTGATTCAAGGTCTGGAGAGTAACGTTTTATTGGAGCTGTTATTGATGTATTAAGTGTTATTGACTTACGGCTTTTTGCTTTTGATGAATCCTGGCTTTCTACAATTGCTGTTGATTTATTTAGAGATGTATTTAATTCTGTTAACTTGTCACAGTCACTTGGGTCACTCACTACCATTTTAATAACGATTAATATTAATAATACTTTTTCATTTAATTTCTGTGTTTATTTCACCCACGTGGATAACATACGTTTTTTTTTAAAGGTTAGACAAAATTGTGTATAGATAAATAGATATATGTATCTGGAAATGGTATAGAGTTTTAGTAAATTGGAGGCGTAGTTAAGTACAGGAAGAATGTAATAGATCGCGCCAGGAGTAACTTTCTTAAAAATGAAAGTTATTGGCTGTTGGTAAAGTACTTGACATCAATTGCTTCCAGGATTTGATGACATCAATTTCAAAATAACATCATTTAACTTGAGGTGGTTGTCCTCTATTAAAAATGACACTGAAGTTAGCAAACGTCGAAAAATTTTTGATTCTTTTTAGTAATTAAATTATTAAATTACAATTAAAAAGATATTTTTAAAAAATTGCACTTATAGTTTTTCAAGTTTTTTACATATGAAAATTTTTTTTAATTGTTTAATTGATATTTTTTCAATAAAAAATGTATAAAAATTTTGAAATGTCGGCTAACTTCATTTTCATTATTAAAATCCAATTAGAATTTAAATTTGCGCGCGCTTGAATATGGAGTTTGCATTTATTTTCGTCTATGACCAATCATGCGAATAGTTTGCAATATACATATTTTTTCATCTTAATTTTATTATACTAGAATTTAATTTGCGCGCGCAAGCGCGCGCGTCATATTTATTGTCATGGTATATTTATGTGTCGTTTATGTATAGTATATTCACTTTCAACCAATCAGAATGAAAATATTTATTTTCGACCAATCACATCACGAATAAATTGGTTTCACATACATTTCATCTCAATTTTATTACGGGATGATGATAATATAACTGGCTCTGTTTAATTTTAATGTAACGAGACCTGAATTTAATTAAGATAGGGAGAAGATAAAGGAAAAGTTTTCTCAAATTTTAAATTTGTTTTCGTAGTAAAAAAGATTTTTTTTTTTTAATTTTAATATTTTTATCTTTGTATGATAAAAATAATTTTTTTTTTTATATTGTCAAAAAACTGAAAATTTGAATTTTATTGCGATATTGAAGGAAAAAATTTTTTAAAACCTTATAAAAAATGTAAAAACAATTTAAGGTAGTACGGTTATGAAAGCAATATTTCAAGAAATCCTCGAAACTTTGAATATAAGTTATTAAATACATAATACATATGCTGTTAAAATTTCAAGACGATTTACCACACCAAACTTGAGATAATTGCAATTGAAAATGACATTTTTGTACATGTAACATAGGAGAAGCGTGGGAAAATGACAGTATTTTTAATTTTTTCCATCGAAGGAATTTCAAGACTTTATCAAAAAACTAGTAGATTGAAGAATATGATATTTCGAACAATTAAAAAAAAAATGAAAATTTTCTACCATGTAGTTTTCGAGATTAATTAAAAACAATTTCACTTTTAGAGGATTATTTTTAGGAGAGGGGGTACGAAAAACAGCCGCTAGTCACTGAAACCGTAGTGTGTGTGTATATGTATAGAGAATATAGTAGTCGACGAGTACAGTAACGTTAAAAAATCTTAACCTACAACCTTAGCTCTGTCGATACTAATAACATGGATAGCGAGTCAAAATTTTTGATCTGGATTGTCGCAGAGGTACTACCTTAATTGGTATGTACAGTCGACTCTCGGAAAGTGTCCGTTTCCCTATTGTAATATTTAGTTCTTTCCCCCACCAATAAGCGACAATAAATTTTTTCGCGCTCTCTTTAAATGTGGACATAAAACTTTTAAAACTATTGATTTAAATCAAAACATTTTTGACATCATAAATAATGAAAACATTTTTAACTTTTTGCTAAGATAATTGAAAATGTTCAAACATTCAGAATCTGGTTTTCCCCAGTAGTTTAAACTATAAAAAATTGGAAATTTTTTTTCATAATTTTATAACAATAAAATTTAATAAAATATTTTATATATAAAAATTAAAAAAAATTGTTAATAAATTTGATTTTCCCCAGAGCTGCCTAATTTCTTCAATAAAAAAAAAAAAAATCAAAAAAGTTCCTCAGAAACAATTACCCAAAAACCCAAATTGTATATCAAACAAATTGAATCAACAAATATCCATACCATGACGCTGATTTTCCTCATTCATCTTTTCTGACCTGGATTTGTCTAACCAGTGAATTATTCAAAATACATTCCAAAAAAAATGTTTCAATATTTTTCAAACCGTACAATATCAATGAAGGTCAAGCAAACGTTGCGGTTTTGCGCTATAAAAAGACTATCTCGTCTGACTCACTGTCAGCAGTCATAAAATTAAATTTTTATTTCTCAAAGATATCCAGAGCCTACGTTTTAAAAAGCTAGACGTGGTTTATTTAGCATCAAGAACTAGGAAAGCAAATACGTGTCCTAATTTAAAGATTGTGACTACTCAAAAATAATGATAGTATTTCTATCGCTGATCATCCTACTGGGTGATATTCCTGGCGGATCAACAGACGAGTGTTTGCCTAATTCCAGTGGGATCGATCAACAGTGCTCTCCGGTGATTGGAAACAAATGCACGAAGGAAGATGATTGCCCGATACCCAACACCATATGCGATCAAGTATGCAAGTGTAAAGGTGGAATGCATCCTTCAGAGGACAAGAACTTCTGTGAAACTGATGTTAAAAGTAAGTACCCAGATAAGAGATGAATTTGAAGTGATTAATGATGATTAACTTGATTGGTCCTTGAAGGAATTGGTGACAGCTGCAAAGATGATGAATGCAATACGATCGAAAACGCCGTTTGTAAACAAACTAACGTCAAGACGAAGTTCTTTGGGAACAAAATATGGGACACCGAGTCCACGTGCCAATGTAAGCTCAACCATTTTTTGTCGAACCTGAAATGTGTCAAGTACGCAAATGGTAAGTAGAGAAGATTGACTAATTAGAATGATGAGAATAATGAAGAATTTTGTATAGATTTACGGGATAGATGCGAAGACAATCGTGAATGTTACAAAATTATTGGAAGCAAGAAGTGCAATAAGACGACCAACACTTGTCAGTGCAATGAGAAAATTTACTACCTGGCAGACGGCAAATGTCACAAAAAAACAAAAAGTAAGATGAATTTAGATGATGAGAGCGAGTGATAAAATACTTATTGGTTGGTTGATGGTAGGTTTGGGAGAAGACTGTAAGAATGATGTAGGCTGCACGAAAATTGACATCGCAGAATGTTCGAATAATATATTCCATATTTGCACAAGCCTAGTTAATTTGAAACTCATTTACATATGACACTTCATATAGATCTTGTATGAGTTCATCTTATCGTAATAAACTGTACTTCTTTTAGATTTGCACGAATCTTGCAGTAATCCGTCCGGATGTAAACCTAAATTTTCTGAATGCCTTAACAATGAATGTCAATGCGGATCAAAATATAACGAATACAACAACGTATGTTACGGTCTTTTGAACGCCACTTGTTCTCAGCCATCCGATTGTTTGTCAACCTCTTACTCATGCGGTTCATCAGGCACTTGTGAAAACGTTGAACATAAAAACGGAGATAAAGTGTTATCTTCAAAACCTAAAAGTTAGTATTTTTATTATTGAATCAATGTTTTCAGAGTCGTTTACTTTCATGATTTTTATCTTCGGAACAAATAAGTCTAAATTTGATTAAAATTGTTTTTTCAAATAATGTTGCTTCTTCTTAGTACACCTTTAACCGATTTGTATTTCCTATAGTTACATTATCCTGGATCAATTTCAATAATAAGACAAAAATTGGTGACGGAGTTTATGCTGGAGCGGACGGTCCTGGGGATATACACGTCTGTCGTGGAGTTTACGAAAATTTACTAATCCCTGGAAAATTACTAAAACTATTTAATGCTCACAACTACCAATGTCATGTGTCATATCTCAATACAGAACCAGACTTGATGGAATTTGAAGTAAGTATTGTGTAATATAAAAAGTCATCTATTTTATTGTTTTATACGTTCGTTTAATAAACTTATCCTTTATTTTAATAGATGCTCAGTGGATCGAGCTTGAGATGGAAAGAATCATCGTTTACACTTGACAAAGCCGTTTATGGTGGTGCTAATGAAGACAATAAACCATATCTTATTTGTCGCACTAAGCATACTATCTATCAGGATCGGATTATCGTTGGAAAACTTGAACCTCCTCTATACAAAACTTGTGTCGCGCCTTTCGGTCGAACCGTATATTACTACAAAAAATTCGATATCTTAGTCCACGATTAATAATAATCGATAGTTAATGGATAATTTAATGCAATGTATAACATTTAGAATAGTAATATATATTACTGAAATACAATTCTGCTCAATTGAATTGCACTCACATTAAATTGTAACAATTGACGAAATTTTGTTGCTTAAATTATCGGTAAATAGAAAGTTCTTAATATATGACAATATGTTATTTAATTGCACTCTGTCAGTATTTTTTTATAGCAATAAAATTATTATGAAAATATTTAATCAAAAAATTAGGAAAACGGTTGACCCTGATGGCCATCTCTGCAACTTTCCGCTAATTTCATACCCAGGGATTATGAGAAATAAACAAAAATCAAAAAAAAAATTTTTTTTATCCGTAAGACATACATTGCGCTGTTAGATTATTGAAGGTGACTTTGATAACTGTTTATTACTTGGTGTCCTGGCGGTTTCAGCAGCACGGTGAAAGCACCGTCGCAGCACGGTCGCTTGACAGTTGTTTCACGGTCGTTTCACCGTATAAAGTTTGTTCTTACCGAGCGATCCATCAGTCAGCATCGGATACCGTTGTGAACGATGTCTACTATTAATTTATTGAATATATACGGTGTATACGCAAGTGAATCTACGATGTTTTGACTGATGCTGTACGCTCAATTTACTGTCGAAATACGGTGATTTTACGCTACTGTCACGGACAATAAAATAAAAAAAAATACTTCGGACAGTCTAGACCGAGACTCGAACCCGGTTCAAATGGTCGCGCTCCCGAAACTTTACCAGTTGGGCTACCTGAGACAACGCACGGGGTATTCGATTCAGTGACATGATAAGATGTCAAAACCAAGTCATTTTTTTTTCATTGTACAGATAAAAATAGCTTAAATAAAGTTATATTTTTTCCAGGACTTCAAAATAATAATCGTAATAAATGATTCAAATTTTTGATGATTACGAAATTCTTGATCAACTGACGAGTGTTTGCCTAATTCCAGTTGGATCGATCAACAGTGCTCTCCGCTGATTGAAAACAAATGCACGAAGGAAGATGATTGCCCGATATTCAACACCATATGCGATCAAGTATGCAAGTGTAAAAGTGGAATGCATCCTTCAGAGGACAAGAACTTCTGTGAAACTGATGTTAAAAGTAAGTACCCAGATAAGAGAGATGAACTTGAAGTGATTAATGATGATTAACTTGATTGGTCCTTGAAGGAATTGGTGACATCTGCAAAGATGATGAATGCGATACGATCGAAAACGCCGTTTGTAAACAAACTAACGTCAAGACGAAGTTATCTGGGAACGAAATATGGGACACCGAGTCCAAGTGCCAATGTGAGCTCAACCATTTTGTGTCGAACATGAAATGTGTCAAGTACGCAAATGGTAAGTAGAGAAGAGTGACTAATTTTAGGATGATGAGAATAATGAAGAATTTTGTAGATTTACGGGATAGATGCGAAGACAATCATGAATGTTACAAGATTATTGGAAGCAAGAAGTGCAATAAGACGACCAACACTTGTCAGTGCAATGAGAAAATTTACTACCTGGCAGATGGCAAATGTCACAAAAAAACAAAAGGTAAGATGAATTTAGATGATGAGAGGAAGTGATGGAATACTTATTGGTTGGTTGATGGTAGCTTTAGAAGAATACTCTAAGAATAATGCAGGAAAATTGACAACGCAGAATGTTCGAATGATACATTTAAGATGTGTAAATGAATAAACTGTACTTGTTCTAGAATTGCACAAACCTTGCAGTAATCCGTCCGGATGTAAACCTAAATTTTCTGAATGCCTTAACAATGAATGTCAATGCGGATCAAAATATAACGAATACAACAACGTATGTTACGGTCTTTTGAACGCCACTTGTTCTCAGCCATCCGATTGTTTGTCAACCTCTTACTCATGCGGTTCATCAGGCACTTGTGAAAACGTTGAACATAAAAACGGAGATAAAGTGTTATCTTCAAAACCTAAAAGTTAGTATTTTTATTATTGAATCAATGTTTTTTATCGGAACTGAGAAGTCCAAATTTGATCAAAATTCTTTTTTTAAATTAAAGTAGCTTTTTTATCGAGTCACTTTTAACCGATTTATATTATCCGTAGTATCTTTGCACTGGACCACTAAAACTGATTCACCAGCTACTGACGGAATTCACGCTGGAAAAGATTCAACATCTGAAATATACGTCTGCCGTGGAACACACGATAGTTTAACGATCCCCGGAAAATTGATTAAACCAAAAAGTGCTTCAAATACTCGGTGTAATCTGGCATATCTCGAGCAAGAAATATCCTTATATCAATTCGTAGTAAGTATTGTGTGGTATAAAAAACATCTAATTTTTACGTTTGTTCTATAAATCTATCTTTTTTCATAGATGTTGAGTGGTACGAGCTTAAATTGGAAAGATTCATCGATCAGACTTGACAAAGCTGTTTATGGTGGTGCTAACAAAGACGATAAACCGTATCTTATTTGTCGCGTTGTTCATACTCAGGATAGTGGTCAGATTATCGTTGGAAGACTTGAACCTCCGCTATACAATTCTTGTATCGCACCTCATAATAACAAGATTTTTTTATTACGATAAATTTGATATCTTAGTCCAGGAATAATAATAATGGATAGTTCATGGAAAAGTTAATGCGATGTATAACATTTAGAATAGTAATATACATCAATGAAATATAATTCTGCTTAATTAAATTACCGCTTAAATAACAAGTTCTTAATTGTAGAAAATATCCTATTTGATTGCACTTCAATAGTCACTATTTTGAACCATAATCAGCAAGATGTTGATGATAGTAGAGCTTAGGAGTTTCATGGTCGTAATACGACTATTTTACCCTTAAAAACTCTAATAAAATCACGAAAAACAAGTCAAAAAACCCGAGGTCCGTCAAAAATTCACAACCGTTTGAGTTATGAGCCCTTTGTCTCATGACTTTACCAATCACCGTAGGACCCTTCAATCCAAACCCTTGTTCATACACCCCTCCAAGCACTTATGCTGGCAAAAATCCCCGTGCAAGTGCCTCTAATTTGGAACAGTACCTAACCCTCGTTCTCCTATCCGTTGAAGAGAAACCATCCCCAACTCTTCCCACTACAGCTGAAACATTAGAGCGACACATTGGATTAGGGGATCTTCCTTGGTAAGTACAAACAAGCTCCCTTGATCTATGGCTATGCAAGCTATATACATGCTACATAGAGATGAAATCGGAATATTTTATGCTGGAATAAAATATTTCTACTCAACTTTTTGCGCCAACAAAGACAACCTTATGACCTGATGAGTCACGTCGAGTTAAACTGCACCATGACTCGGCCAATCCGGCTTCTGATATATATATATATATTGCTGTTTTGAGGTTAGGGGACACTCTACTTACACTTTAGGGTGTTGGGGTGTCATTTATTTATAGCAGTTTATGTTTTATTTGATAAGATACTCGTTGGGGCTACTGCACTATTTCCATTCGGAAAATAACTTTTCAGACTCAATAACGGTTCATGGTTTATTTAATGGATTTCTCAGATTTATAGAGTCCTTTGATGCTCTCTCGATCTTCATCTGTATCACCAGTATCAATATCAATGGATGCTGTCGATTATTTAGGGGCTGTATCACGCCTATAAGATCTAGATTAGATGTGAGAAAGCTGTTAGGATTTTGTGATCAAATTGGTCTCATATCGTACTGAGATTTCCCTTATTTTAGTTTATTGGGTTATAGATGACTTTCACTATGTATTTGAAGGAGATCCAAGTACTCTTCTAGTGTAAAGAATGCTGTAATTTTTTTGAGAAATTTTGAATTCATAAATTATTTCCAAAATCCTTCACACATTACAATTTTACGATTGATCACCACAAAATTACAATGTAAATCATGTATTATGATAATTTCATCTGCTTCCTTATATTTATACTCATTATTACCTCATTATTAAAAATACTTGAAAATCTTTTTACGACCGCACCTCCGCATACAATTTATAAAATTCCACCACCCATTAAAAAGTCGTTAGTATCAAAGTACTTAAATCGTGATTTAATACTGTCATTTTTAGACAGTTAGTCACGCATCCCGTTATATTTATACGTTATATGCAAAAGTCATAAACTGTTTAAAACAATTAAAAAAAAGGCTATTCGGCAGCCGAAATTGGAAGTAGATTTTTTAAATAAAGAAAATTTATTTTAAATAAAAAAATATTAAAACAAATGATGTATCATTTAATTAATTAAATACTGAAGATTCTGAATCAAAAAATGGCTAAATTTTTTAAAATTTGTGCCATGAGGACGGCTGCAATAGTTAAATTTTTATAAAATCTACTAAAAAGAAAGATATTGACCACTTAATTTTGTTCAATTATAATTATAATAAAGATATATGTTTGCAAACTTTTCATCTTCGAATTACATTTCTATGGTAATTCGTTGTGATTAGGGGATGCGGGTCGATTTTCTGTGGCGAATCGGTTGAGGGAGTTTATTAAACGCAAAGGGTGATTGGCGTTTTTTTGTGTAAAGGGTGCTCAAATTATAAAATAGGGTGAGCTTAAAGTAATGCTTGTTATATATAAATATTTTATGTTTAGTTTGTATATTTTTCGTAACAATTTCAAAAATTAATCACTTTAAATCGAATCATTCAATCTCCGGTTTGAGGTGTGCAATTTTAAAACCGGATTAATTTGGATAAAATTAAAATTTTTTTTTTACAGTCTTTAATAGATTATCAATAGACTAATATAATAATAAGCGCTAGATGAAACTTATCAATAAGACTAAGTGCCTATTTTAAATACCAATTACAAAATAATCTAAAATTTGCAGCAACTAGAATTGAATTTGCGCCTGACTATAGAGTTTGCATATATTTTCATGCTTATGATATATTTGACCAATCATGTTAAGAATAGTTGTCAACATATATTTTTCATCTTAATTTTATTATAGGAATTATAGAATATACGCTAGGTGTTAATTAATTTGCATATATGCTCGGGTTTGTACCGTATCTGGACACACTTTTTTTTTCTTTTTACTTTTCTCCTTTATCAGTTAAGAAGATAATACAAGAAGCTACCTATCATTACGCAGCAGGATTCACCGATATTATCTAATATCGCCCGAGGAAAACTACTTTGTTCGTAACAAGAGTGTATAAACGATCAGTTTTAAATTAATTTTGTTTCTCTTCTTCTTGTGAGATTATTAAATTACTTTTGAATATTACAAATTTTTTTTTTTTAATTTAATACAACTAAACTGACCATATATATAATTATTACATTTTTAAATTAATATTATTGTTATTTTATAAATTAAAAATTATATTTTGGTTTAGATTGATTAAATTATACTAAAGTAACAAATTTATTTTCTGAAAAATTTTATTAACATTAAAAATATTTATTTCCAATGATTAATAATAGTACAAACATTTCTTCCGATGATTGGATTTGGTACACACTCATAAGGCTCACAGCACCCTTTTCCATAATTATAACACTAAAAAAAAAATAATAGAAGAATTAGCATTTAAAATTTAATTTTTGCTAATAAAAATTTCAATTTTGAAAAAAATTATCATTATTATTATCTTTTAAAAATACTGAATAATTGTTTATAGTACTTACGACTTCACATTCCTCCATACAAGGCGATATATTTGTATTTTGTATATATAAAGCACATTTTTCAAAGATATCTTCTTCGTAAGATTTTTTAATTGATAAGATGACAATTATTAAGAAAAATATTTTATAAAAAATCAATTTATGGGAAGACATTTTTAAAAAATTTAATATTAAAAATAAATTTTTTTTTTTTATTGAAGATTACTGTGATTTTAAAATATTTTAAAGTGACTAATAAATTTCAAATAGAAAAATTTTTATATTCTATTCCGAGCCATTATCTTTTTTTTTGTCGATAAAAAGTGTCATTAAATTATCAAGTTAAAGTTTTTTTTAATCAATATATATTTTTATCTTTTGAGATACTTAAATATTTTAACGACAGCGTAAAATTATAATCGGGAAAAAATATTTATTTTAAAAAAATATTTTTTAAACTTAAAAATAACAACCAATTTTTTTAAAATCGACGGCATTTTTTTTTTTCTAAAATAATTTTTAAAAAATCTTTTCGAGTAAATAAATTAACGCTTAATTAATTATAGTGTTACCGATTCTCGATAGAGAAAATCAGGTAATATTACACATTGATTTAGAAGACACCTTTATGGCTTTATGGATACCCAACCGATTAGCTATTATGTAACAGACCTTATGTTGCATATATTGCGGCTCAGCGTGCGTGCGGTCCAAAGCACGTGCGCCCCACGATCTATATAAATACTTTTACCCTTCATAAATGATCTAGGAATACCTCAGCTCAGTAATTAATTGCGCCTAATTAGACACTCTGCATATTTGCGTTAGATAAATTAGAAGAAAAAAGAAAATAATAATTAAACTCCAGCGTTAAAATTACATTTCAAATTTTTAAAAATTACACATTAAGAGGGTTTATTGTTGTTTTTTATTAACAGGTGTCTCTATAATCGTAAAGAATACAATATAAAGGCATTCCTCGGGATACTTAGTGTATTTTTATTTTCTTTCCGATCGATTAGCTTCGTAAATTCTCCATTAACCAGCTGTCCAGCTTACGAATTTACACCGAGATATTTTATTTCCATTTATATAAAATTCAGTGGACTGGATAATTCCTTTAGACTTTAAATTATAGAACTAAATACTATTCTATTTTTAAGTCAATTAAATATATATTTTTCTCATCAAATATATCATTTATAATTACCACAAATTTATATTTATTTTTTATATACCTCTTTAAATTTTTTAAGGTATAGCAAAAAAAAAATCGACTATTTTAGTTTTTTTAATGAGAAAAAAAAATTTCTTTTGAAAATAATCTAGGAAAATTTTGTGGCCAGTATTTAGATACATAATTAAGAAATGACCGTGTATCTCGTGAACTCTTGACATTTTTAAAGATATAAGCTCATCCTGATGTTACACTCATCAAAACCTTTCATTTGAGTACCCACATCAATTTTTCATATATTTTATATATTTATATATATTTTATATATGTATATATGAAAAATATATAAAAAATGCATGTGGGTATTTAAATGAAAGCTCTTGACGAGTGTAACATCGGGATGAGCTTATATCTTTAGAATATATATTATATATATGTATATATGAAAAATATATAAAAAATGCATGTGGGTACTCAAATGAAAGCTCTTGATGAGTATAACGTCAAAATGAGCTTATATCTTTTAAAACGTCAATATTAAAAAAAGTACAGTGCAATTTAATAAGAGTCATTATTTAATAAAGCAAAATTTTATTTATTCATAGTGAAAAAAATAGATATCCTTAGTAGTGTCAATAAATATTTGATAATACTTTTTTTTTTAATATTAAATAATCAATAATTTTTTTTTTTTTATCAAAATAATTGTTTATTTTATTTTATATTATAATAAATGACAAACTAAACTATACTTAAGAATTAATAACCAAAAAATAAATTACATTTGAGCTTGGCTGTAAGTTTCAGAAATTTGAATCGTACAAAAATTACTGTCAGGATATTGAATTTCGTGGTGGTGATCAAAGTCACCTTGTTCCAAAGTAGCAATAGGGTCTTCTTCACTAACAACTTCTTGACTAGTTGAAGTTCCCGCGGGTGGTTTTCTGGCGTACTTCTTGCGGTTAGAGCACACTTTATTAACATGCCTCACAAATTCCTTGGAGGGCAAAATCCAGCCTAATCGCATGTTAATTAAATCTGAAAACAATTATTATTTTATTAGCCTCAAAAAATCTAAGTAATAATAATAATAATAATAATAATAATAATAATAAATAACAATAAATAGTAACGTATGCAGAACATACCATAAACAGAGCGATAGACATTTGGATCGATGCCCCGAGCACCTCTGCGACCTTTTGCAGACAAAAATGCTAATTCCTTGCCGTAAATTTCAACAAGGATGTCAGTAGTTAGCTTTTTCCAGTCGCTTAAATCTGGATTGCGGTGCGATATTGCGTTTATTGTCATCGGTGGTAAAAACGAACCAAGGCTTGAGTGGATATTTTCTTTTTCTTGGTTAATTATTTCTTGCACGCTTGGTTCCTTCTTAAAAAAAAAAAAAAAGAAAAAAATATATTATATTAGATAAATTGTAATATAATAAATTGATGAAATTTTTAAGAAAAAAAAAAATTACTTCTTGCTTTACAGGGACTCGTTGGTCGCAGGCTTTTTCCATTACTCCTACTAATCGTTTTAGAAAATTAAGATTTTCTACTGTCGCTGGAAAAAATTATTGATTATTAAAATATATAGATTTATAAAATAAAAAATAAATTTTTAGCGTAACTAATGAGTCAAAATAATGTTAATAATTTTTTTTTTTTCCCAATATTCGTGAAAATTCTTTATTATAATTTAAAATAATTTAAACAATTTAATAATTGATGATTTTTACTTATTTAATAAAGTAAAGTAATAAAATTACCGGACTGCAATAAATTTTTAACTTGCTCAGTGACATCATCCTCTTCACACTGTCTATTATCTTCGTTATCGCTTTGACTATCGTCGTCGCTGGAATCAGAGGACGAAGTTTCGTCGTCACTTAGCGCAGTAAAAACAGCAGAAGTGTAATTTTTATTATTTCTCTGCGATTTATTACAATCAACGTCTTTTTGCTTGGCTATTTTTATTTTTGCAGCTTTCTTTGCTGCATACAATAAATCCGATCTCGAGATAATTAAACTTGGATGGGTAGACTGCGTTGGTTTTTCCAATAAAATTCCCGTCGAAGTATCAACTGTTAAATTATTCAACTCGTGTTTGTCTTCTGTATAAATTTAAGGAATAATTAATTAAGTATCAAATAATTTTAAATTATTTAATTTATTATTATTAAGAGAAGAGAATTTGTAAGATCAAGATGAGCATACATCTTCAAAAATATCAATAATTAAGAAATGACATTGTATCTTGTTAACCATTGACATTTTTAAAGATATAAGCTCATCTTGATGTTACACATCAATTTTCATATATTTATATTATATTATATATTTATATACATTATATATATATATATATATATATATATATATATATATATATATATAT